CGGGGTGGTTCAAAGGGTTGATGGAACCTTCATAAAATAAAATACACTTACATTCCTGGGTAGGTAAGAGAGAGTAAAGAAAAGTCATTTCTGAGAAAATTTTAAGGGAGCCTTTCTCATTAATTTTTCATTCTTTGTGAACTACAACAGTAAGAGAGCGCAGTGTTCCCCTGCGCTAGGAATATTGCTCAATGCTTTGCATACTCATGTATGACTGAGTGACTACGCTGAAATATGTCTTATATCAACATTAAAACATGAATATGTTTTATACCTGCAGGGTAAGGAGGAAGACTGCAAGTCAGCTGCGTCTTCCATAAAGGCAGGTAACTTCCAGATACACTGAAATAATTTCAAAGAAATATAAATGGATACAAGTTTATACACACTTGAAATCCACAAATATGTTAATCTTTTTGCAAAGGACCAAAAAGTTTAGAATTTGAGTCAACATAAATGGAGAGTGACTTCAGTTGTATTATGGTTTTCATAAACATAACTTTAACAATGATAGAAATTTTATAGGGTAAAATGATTTTATAAACGACCTCATACACTTCTGCACACTACCTAATTTGTAGAAAAATTGTTATACACATTTCATGCTTATTCCACATAGAATTTTTAAGTTAACTACGTACTTGTCCAGCACTGACAATTTTGTCCTTTAAACAGCAATTCAAGAGTATGACCAAGATTTTTTACAGCATTTACATTACTACTTTGTTTAATTATTGTTAGCAAATAAGAAGTATTCTGGATTAAAAAAAAAAAAAAAGTTTTAACTCAAATCAGATACAGTCACTAAAAAAATTCACATTGTCCCTCAAAGCACAGCATAGCTGAGGTTTTTTTCCTGTTAGCTATACTGGCTCAAGTATACAGCAGCTACTCTTCACAATAGAAATGCGAATGGGGAGAAAAAAAAAAACAAACAAAACCCATTAATTTCTCCATGCACAGGTCCACCGGCACACACCTTGCCTCATATCCTGCCACCTGGATGTTGTGATCTCTTGCCAGGGACCATGCCTGTTAGACTCTGTGATGGCATCAGTTGCCCCAAGACAGCTGTGGTGCAGCCATGAACACCTCCAACAGGTCTTTATCCCTTCTCTTGGCAAGCATGGATTTCTTGAGGGCCGATGGGATTAAAGAGACCCTGTTATCCCCCTGCAGGGCTATTTCAGTGTCAGATACCAGGTCACCCACCCCAGGGTGAGCAGTGTCTGCTGGAGCCGCTGCTCAGCAAGTGATGTGGAGACATCCTCTGTTGGATTTGGCCACCAGAGGACACCACCGGCGCTCTTCCTGGCAACTCGTAAAAATCTGACAAAACCCCACATAGTTGGAATGGGATTCTTTTCTGAACTCCAGAAAAACTTCTCCGGTCAGGACAGCATAAGCATTTTTCATTTCATCTAGATGGTGACAGACAAGGTGATATCAAACTAAGTCACAAAGCAACATGTGATCTAGATGTTTAAACCACATTGCCTCACTGCTAAAGTGGTTCCCCCTTAGTTTTACCAACCATAATTTGTTATCTGTATCAACTTCATGCAATAAAAACCACAAAGACTAAAACAAGTACATAAAAAGGTTATTTTTATTCTTTTGGGATGTTAGTAATGTAGTTATTTTTGGTAAAACAACTTCCTGCATGCAGTACTTCAGTACATTACGAGCCAACAGTTTCTATAAAAGCAAGAGCCCATCTATATTCTAGTTATTTCATAAGAAATGCAAGGTATTCCACTGTCCATTGCACAGCTTCACTATATTCATTCTCATGAAGAAAGATTTTGAATAACAAATCATATTTAAAGCACTTCCACTGCAGTATGAATCAACAAGAAAAGCAGACAGTGTGAGACTAATGCTGGGGAAAAGCAATGTTTATATGACTAAGATTACCCTGAAAATTGACAGACAGGATTATAATTTTAAAAGAAACCCTTCTATCTTGTTTCACATACAAAGACCTACCCACTGATCAGAAAAAAAGAACCGTACTATCCATTTATTTTAAAATTTTTCCTTATTAAAATATGTTTAATATAATTAGCAAAAACTTGCAGTTACCAATTCACATTGTACCTTAGGTTTCCCAACAGCAACGTGTCACAGATAGACAGCAATAAAAATTACTAAAACCATGAAGATACGTGTGGTTTCTTATAGTAAGTATAAAATGTTATAAAATAAAACTATTTTCAAAACAACAAGAATAGATCAATAGATATATATTACAAAAGTTTTTTTCTAGTCCCACATTTTAAGCATTATATTTGTCCTGTGTAGTCTGCTTATTTAGTGCATATTTGCTGATTACAAAACTCAAACAAAGTAAAATCTATAATAGCAGCAAACTATTGCTTCCTGGTATGAGGAATGATGGTCTCGTCAAACAGTTTTTTTCTTTTTACCACTCATGTGTCTTCCCATCTTATACTTTAATAGCTGTAGGGTAATAGCATCAAGCATGCATCAGTTAAAGCTTCCCAATTATTTGGAGTATTACAGAATATATTGTATTATCTACTGAAACGTTATAAGCTACACTTACTAGGGTACATATACGCTGCAATAAATACAGTCATTGTCTCTTTGTTCAAACAGGTGCCACTGCATAAAACAATTGATTAAATAACAAAGGATATTTTACTTACATGTATTGTGTCAGCCTTGATGCTAAAAAAGTCATCTAAGCCACGATGCAGGACAAAGATAATTTAAGAACATCCTTTTGGTCATCTCAGCTTTCTATGGAAGATATCATTACATACAGTGAAAGCCTAACTTAAGTGCCACAGGGGGGTCAAAACCGCCTCTGATGTACGTATTTTGTGTCTCTGGCATGACCTATCCTTCCAAAGTATGGAAATTTAAGTCTGAGGTATACATTAATGTACTATTTGTCCCAAAACGTACTTTCTTATCAATTTATACACGTAGCTTTGATTATTGTTGTAAGTGGGATATATTAGTGTGAAATAAGAAGTGTAGAAACAGACTTCGGAATGAAGTATGGAAGCTACTCTTGAAATTACAGGGTCTACAGTTACAAAAAAAAAAAAAAAGAAAAAAGGCTGCCACTTTTTTAATTTCAGTAATTCCCTGTAGGCACAATCTGGCATTTGTAGCTTTTTTTGTGAAAAGAACAGTTCAAATATCTCAGGAATTACAAGACATCTTGGACTCTGAAACTATGTTTTTTTCATAGTTACACATTTTTCAAAAGAGGAGTTGTGTGTAGCATCATTTATTTCACAGAATCACTAAGGTTGGAAACGACCTCTAAGATCATCAAGTCCAACCGTCAACTCAAACACCACCATGACCACTGAACCATGTCCCAAAGTGCCATAACTACATGGTTTTTGAACACCTCCAGGGATGGTGACTCCACCACTTCCCTGGGCAGCCTGTTTCAGCACTTGACCGCTCCTTCAGTAAAGAAATTTTTCCAAATATCCAACGTAAACCTCACCTGGTGCAACTTGAGGCCATTTCCTCTCATCCTATCACTTGTTACCTGGGAGAAGAGACTGACCCCCACCTCACTACAACCTCCTTCCAGGTAGCTGTAGAGAGTGGTAAGGTCTCCCCTCAGCCTCCTCTTCTCCAGGCTAAACAACCCCAGTTCCCTCAGCCGCTCCTCATCAGACCTGTTCTCCAGACCCTTCACCAGCTTTGTTGCCCTTGTCTGGACAGGCTCCAGCACCTCAATGTCCTTCTTGTAGTGAGGGGCCCAAAACTGCACACAGGATTCGAGGTGCAGCCTCACCAGTGCCGAGTACAGGGGCACAATCACCTCCCTACTCCTGCTGGCCATGCTATTTCTGATACAGGCCGGGATGCTGTTGGCCTCCTTGGCCACCTGGGCACGCTGATGTCTCATGTTCAGCTGGTTGTCAACCAGCACCCCCAGGTCCTTTTCTGCCTGTCAGCTTCCCAGCCACTCCTCCCCAAGCCTGTAGCGCTGCATTGGATGGTTGTGACCAAAGTGCAGGAAATTTAAATCACTGTATCTGAAATGGACTCTATAATAAATTAAGAATTACTAAAAAGTATTAAACATAAGTATATTAAAACCAAGAGATTAAACTACCAACCTCTTTTCTGTGAAAATTTTTCCCTTGTTTTTTTTCTGATAAATTCTGTATCTATAATCTGTTCTTTTTTATCATTTGCTGTTGATTTGATCTAGATCCTGAGAGTCTATAATCTGGAATTTTGGTTTTCTGCTTTTACAAGTGGCTTGAAGAGAACTACATTCACATTATGATGGTATAATTATGTATTCCTGACATTTGTGTTCCTCTGCAAGAGTATTTAGGCTTTTTTCTCAGCACAGCAGAATTACAAATAACAGTACACAAATTAAAGCAAATGAGATCACAAAAAATTGACACATATAGAACATAAATAGGAGAAGAAATGTAGAGTAGATACACTTATTCCACAAAAATACAGGACTGGTAATTTTGCACTCCATTAAGGGTTCCTACTGTCCAAGTAGGAATTTCATGTCTCCTCTCCATTAGGGCCAGCTGATAGTAAAAACTATTCTTCTGCAAGGTTGTTTCCCTGTTACAGGCTGAGTGTTTGCTAGTGAAGGTCATTGTCTTGGTACAGACACTGACTGTAGCAGTGGGTAAATACGTAAAAACTTGTAATTTTGGCATAGTCCTCTAATAAGAGTGCTATTGATAAAAATGTCATATTCCCAGGCTTGTGAATATTCATCATGGACAACCTCTTTATCTTTTACTTTTTATTTCCTTTTCTGTCTTTCTCCTTGTCTTCTTTTTCTGATTTGTCATCTTCATATTTTTCTGGTTTTGTTACGCTATCATAAGAAGGTGGAGATGTGGTGGATGCAGAAATATCCATTTTCTCTGGAGGTGAGTTTTCACTTAGCTGACCAATAATCATATCTTCTTTGATAAGCAGATCAACCCCATCTTTCCGATACATAAATGAAAGTTTCTTTACTGACTGTCTTAAAAGATAACGTCTATAAGCACGCTGAATGACAGTGGCAGACACTTCCTCTTGCTTTCGTTTTAACGTAGTTGTAATCGGTTCATAGGAGACTTTGGAAGGATTGGCTGCCATGAACCGATCTTCCATCTGTATTCTGAGGGCATCCATCTCATCACTTTCCCCCAAAACACGCTTTGTGAAAGCAAACAAGATGTCAAGGCAGTGAATTCTGTCACCGCTTACCATGGGCAGATCCATTGCAATAAGTTGAATTGTGTTTGGTTTGGGTATATTAAGAGGAGGATCCAGAGAAGCTGCAAAATCAGACAACTTGCTATATTCTATGAATTGTGTTGCATCGGGATCATATTTTTCCCAAACTTCATAGAACATCTCAAAGTCATCCTCACTCAAGGGTTCAGCGCTTTCTTCAGTGGCAACACCAAAGTTCTCCAAAATCACAGCAATGTACATGTTCACCACCACCAGAAATGATATGATAATGTAGCTGACAAAGAAGAAAATCCCAACGGAAGGGTTGCCGCAGTCGCCTTTCACGGAGCTCCCTGGATGAGCTTTGTTAGGGTCACAGTCTGGCTCCCCACTGTTAAGAATTGGGTCTAGCAAAGTATCCCAGCCAGCCGATGTGGTAATTTGAAACAGGCAGATCATGCTGTTGCCAAACGTTTCAAAGTTGAACATGTCATCTATACCAGCTTCCCTCTTAACATAGGCAAAGTTGGACATGCCAAATATCGCATAGATGAACATGACCAGGAAGAGCAGCAGACCAATGTTGAACAAAGCAGGAAGGGACATCATCAAAGCAAAAAGCAGAGTGCGGATTCCCTTAGCGCCTTTAATGAGACGCAGGATTCGACCGATTCTGGCAAGTCGTACGACTCTGAACAAAGTGGGGGACACAAAGTACTCTTCAATCACCTTAGCTAGAAACATACCTGTGAAACAAAAATAAAATTAAAAAGGTAACCTTTTATCACAGATTGAATTTTCCACAACAAAGTATGAGTAACAAAGAACTCTACCCATGGAAGTAGTAGGAATTATAATCGGAGATAAATTTTATCTGCTATGGGTAATTTTAGCTTTTTTCCTAGCACTCTTAGGAAAAAAAAAAAAAAAAAGAG